TGGCTGGCTTGAGTTGTGGGGAATCGAACCACAGCAACCTGAGCCTGACTGCTTTGTTGAAGCAGCCACTTAAAGAACTGAGCTAAGGGGCAGGCCCCCCTAAGCCAGTGATTGAGACTGGCTTAAGTGGTGGTGTGTGCCTGTAATCTTAGTGCTTGGGAGGCTGAAAACAGGAGGATCACTATGAATCTGATCTGTGTAGTGAAACCCTGTTGACCCTGTACTAAATACATAAGAAAAAAGCACCAATTTCTTGAAAAGTAAAAGATTTGCAATTCTTAAATCAGGCCTTTTTTTTTTTTTTGCGGAAACAGGGATTGAACTCAGGCCCTTGTGCTTACCAGGCAAGTGCTTATTCTACTGAGCCATCTCCCCAGCCCAGATTTGTAATTCTTAATTCATTAATGTTGGTATACAAGGAAACATAGCAGATAAAGTCATGAAAAGATATAGTATATAGTTTAATAATATCCCTGCAGCAAATAAAATAACGTGTTTGAAGAGTCTTTAAAATTTTATTCTTCAATACTAGGGGTTATAGCTCAATGGGAGAGTGCCTGCTTAGCATGCATAAGGCCATGGGTTCAATTCCCAGTACCATGCAAAAAAAGAAAAAGAAAATACACTTAATTTTGTCCTTTAGCAACAATGATAACAGCCCATTATAGTTTACTAAAAGCAAGTCTTGTTTTCTGAGCCAAGTTGTCTGATGGCCCAGCCTGATCTAAGAATTAGATAGCTACAGCTCGTGTTCGTTCATTACTGTTTCTCCATTTTTAACGTATTTAGTCTTTGCATAAAAGTTTTGTAGCAAATAGATGAGCTGTGATCCTTGGTGGTGGTACACGTTCCAGGTGTTCTCTGATTCTTAGAAATAGATGCATTAACTCACGGCCAGCTTCCAACAGCCAGGCAGGAAACACCACAGGAATAACTTGGAGAACTCTTAAAAGTACCAACTTCTAGCCTGCCTTCAGAGAGTTGTATTTGGGTTTTCAGAGAACCCAGACATCCTTTCCTTTCCCTGTATCTTTTTTAAAAGCTTTTACATGATTCTTAATCTCAGTCAGATTAGGGAGCTGATATGTTAGAAATTACACAGGAGGCAGGGATGATGATTGCAGCACTATGAAAATGGTGCAGCCTCACAGTGGGCTGGGCCACAGTTGTTCAGCCTGGACCCCTGACATTTGGTGTTAGGTAATTCTGGGTCACAGGAGGCTGTCCAGGGAATCAGCATTCCCAGCTTCTGCCTACTAGGTACCCCACCATGGCCATGAAAACCAGAAATGTCTCTATATTGGGCTAGATGTCCCCTCCAAGGAAAAATTGCTGCCAGGTAAAATCTGCTCGAGAGCCACAGCCCCTTTGCACCAGGGCCAGGAAGGGAATGTCTTCCAACAGTGCCAAGATTTTTCCTGGATGGAGAGTTTGAAAGTCTCTCTGTAAGATAAATGATTACGTGTGCCACATGGAATATTGAGAGATGACTTTGGGCTGCATGATTTTAAAAACAAGTGCAATCAATAGACTACCTTAATTGTAGCCAAAGAAAAAATATTTACATTCATGGAATGCCTTATTTTAAGAATAGTTTTCTGGTGAACCCAACTGGATAGTTTAAATTATATTCTTCATCAAACATTGACATGCAGGGCCAGGGAGATAGCTCAGCAGCATAAGCACCAGCTTGACAAGTGCAGGGTCCTGAGTTCAATCCCTAATGCCCCCCCAGAAAAAATTGACATGTATTTACTAATGGTATTCTGCATTTTAGAGGACATCTACCATAATCAGTGGTCTTTATTTTGCATTACAATTCCTAAATCTTTCCTCTGAAAATAGGAAGAGAAGCCTTAATGTGAATTATTAGCGTAAATTTAGATGTAGGCAATGTATACAGTAATGTGTAACATTTTTAATCATTTTGGTACTAGTACCTTTACAGTATTTTCCATGGTCTTAAGTCAGTTATCACTGTCTAAAACTCTTAAAATGACTGTGGTCCAGGCACTGTTCTACCACTGCAGATATAGCAAAAAACTAATAAGCTAAAATCCTTGGTGTTGTGGGTTTTTATTCTAGGAGGAAGAGAAAGACAGATATGTTTCAGTAGTCATAAGTGCTATGAAAGAAGCAGAGGGAAGGAGGTAGGTGGTACTGGAGGGTGAGTTTTTAGACAGGGTAGCCTCTGGGCACAGACCAGAAGGAACAAAAAGAAGCAAACCATGGCGATATGGAGGTGAGCTGCGTGGTGCGAGAATGGGAGGCGCTGAGTCAGCAGGGAGGTAGCCTGGAGAGGAAGGGCCTGAGGTCCTCCCAGGCATCAGCTGAGGACTTTGGGGTGCATTTTGGGAGATGGTCACCCATGGAGAACATTGAACAGAACAGTAATCTGACCTAATAGCATCTGTAATAGGAGTGACTCCAACTTCTGTACTGGAGGTCCACTAGAGAAGATCCCTCTGGCTGTCATCTGGAGAACCAGCTGGGTAGGCATTACCTCCAGGAGAGTGAGTGTGCAGAATTAGCCTGGCCTCAGGCAGTAGCAGTGGAGGTGATGAAAGAGGGGGACAGATTAAGAATATGTTTGTAAGTTATCGATGACAATTTGCTGGGTCTTTTGGATTGAAGAGTGGAGGACATGCCAAAGATGACACTAGGGACCTAGTTATGGAGAGCTGGGAGGATAGAGCCACTAAGTTCTAAAAGGTGGAAAACTGGGGAGGGAACACATTTTGGAGGGAAAAAGCAAAAGTTGGTTTTGGATGTCCTGTGTTTGAGCTGCCTCTTAGATATCTAAGAGGATACATAAGGCACAAAAAGCTGAGCTGGGTAAAGCTCAGTGGTAGAGTGCTTGCCAGTGTGTTTAATTAAGATCCTGAATTCCATCCCCAGCTGCCTCCCCAAAGTTGGACAGCATCAGCATATAAGTTTATTTCAATATATTTTGTATTCTTTTGTTATAATATCAATAATATTTTTAAAAACTTGATTGTTGTCTTTAACACTTCCTGGTATTGTATTTATTTATTTGTTCCCCTAAATTTTATCAGCAATATCTTATGTGTTGGTGATACAACAGTGAATGTTAAATCTTGATTTCTGTTCCCTAGGACTCACTAATAATCGTTTAACTAATATGATGTAATGAATGAGACAATGAAAGAAATAATTGAAAAACTGTGACAGAATTAGGGACGATTGTATAACTAGCTTCACACTTCAGATGCTTTGCCAGCCAAGGGAGGGCAACAGCAGGCATTCCAGGTAGGAGAGCAGCATTAGGAACAGCAAGGACACACAAGAATGTGCAATCTATTTCAAAATTTAGTCTATTTTTTAAAATGTAGCAGATGGAACATGTGTTTTGCTATACTACAAACGAAAAAAATAATTTTTTTCTAAAAATTGTAAACCTACCAAGGACAAAAAGATAATTAGATTTTGGGAAGTATGGGAGAAGTTTCTACTAACAGAAGAAACTTTGGGGGTAGATAAGGTAGTGATGAAGTAAGAAGCAAAGCAGTTCATGATGCAGAGCACCAGAAATCCCAGAACTTGGGTGCAGGAGCTCTCAGCGTCACTCACAGTGGGTGACTGAGACCTTAGGGAGGGTTGATCAGGCCTCAGATCCCACCCTCTGTGCAGCTGAGAGGCCGAATATAAGGGGTCTCTCAGTGGGTGGTGGGAAGAAATGTCCTCAAGATGTGCAGCAGAGTCAAATGGATTACTATAAAGTAGAAGAAAGGAAAGAAGAATGGATATTTATGCAGGTCGAAAGGGGCTAAATGAGAGATAATACAGAGAGAAAGATTTAGGGGGAATCACGATGTCAGTGGGGGGTAGGTTTTCTTCAAGGTGCTATGGATGCCGGTTAGAGATCTAATTGATTTTAGTAAAGTCATAATAATGCATGTAAAGGAATGTGGCAAAGGTTGAAGAGTCAGAGACCAGCTTTAAATTACAGACAGCGAGAGTGACTGAAGCTTGTAACAGCAAGCCTCCCAGGACCCTTCAAAAGTGAACAAACGTTAGGTGGGATGGGTGAGACGGAGGGGAGGTCGGGGACAGAAGACAGGGTGCTCAGAGAGCAAAGAGGGATTTCAGGAGCAAAATCACTGTCCATGAAGTTAATTGTACAAGTTGAGGTAGAGGTGTAGCTCAGTGGCAGAGCACTGACCTAGCATGCATAAGGCCCTGGATTCCATCCCCAGCACCGCAAAAATAGATAAATATAAATGAATGAATGAGTGAATGCATTTACTCACAGTAACTGCAGACTCAGACTCCCGTAGAGCTCTTCACTCATTATGTGTGAATCTCCCATCAGCACAGTGACAAATGTCACACCTGCCTTTGGAGTTCTCATCAGGAAGTGTCTTTGTGCTGTGCTCCTCTAGGACGTAGTAACCTGAGGACCAGGCATGTGGAGAGGGTTGGTCCAGAGATTGTGGAGTAAAATTGTCTTTGAAGGAAAAAAAAAAAACAAAAAAACATCATTTCTGGGCTTTGTGGACATTTACTGCTACGCACACTTTCCTAAATATATTCTTTCCTCAATTTAGGTCTGCGCTTCTTGGTTCGTCTCTGCACAGATATCGGTTTAAAAGAAGTTCAAGAATATGTCACAAAACTCAAGAGGTTGGAAAAAATGAAAGAAATAAGGGAACAGGTATCTCATATGGGCCAAAAACTGCTATGTGTTCATTTTCAAAATGTCAGTGTGCTGTAGCTCAAGTGAATGTTAGGAGCTTCTGTCAGAAAGAAGCATTGGAAATTTTTTTCTGCTCCAGCATAGCTAAAATTTTAGTTTAAGGATGAAATTTTGTTAAGAAGTGGGTTCCCTATGGGTAGATATGCAATCTTTTTTTTTTTTTTTTTTTTTTTTTTTGCAGAACTGGGGATTGAATTCAGGCCTTTGTGCTTGCCAGGCAAGTGCTTATTCTACTGAGCCATCTCCCTAATTCTCTAGTCTTTAGTGGATAGCTACTAGCAAACAAACAAAACAAAGTAAGTTACAGAATGATTTGAAATTTTTATTTTAGTCAGAGTCCTGTGTTCAGTGAGGAATAATTGCTGCACTTGTCTGTAGTAGTGGTGCTGTTTTCTTTAACTGCTTCCTTGTACACCAGAGCATAGCTTTGAGAATAACATGAACATACATGGAAGCATTCCATGTACATCTGTTTTGTGCAGTGTGTAGAATAAAAATTCTGATTACTAAAAAACAGTTCTTATTACTTCTTTAAAAGTATCTTCTCTCCTATGTTTGAGCCTAAAGTATTTAAAATATAATGTGATTTTTTAATATCGGCCTCTCACAGAAAATATTTCATGAAACTGAGAGTGCTATATTGGATATAAAATTCTGACTAAGGCATTAAGTTAATTTTTTCTCATGAAAATATAGTGACAAAATACTTTTCCAAAAATACAATTCTCTTGAATATAGAGAAAAATCTAAATTCTATACTTGCTTTAAAATATGGGTGGCCATCTTTGCTTTTAAAAAGTGGTTTAGAGGCTGGGAATATAGCTCAGTGGCATAAGCAAGAGCAAGGTCCTGAGTTCGATCCCTGGTACCACTAAATAAATTTTTAAAATGGGACATAACCATTCAGTTTTTAAAGTTTCCAGTTGTAAAAGGATTATGAGCAAATACATCTTTACTCTAAAGACCCTGTGGGGGAAAAATAAAATAAATTTTTAAAAAGATGCTGTGAAATATCACTCTGGTACTAAAATGCCAAGCAAAGATATCTAGTTGACAACTGCTACAATGGCCAATCTAATACAATGTACCAAGAGCTAATGAAATTAGATAACTTGCACGAGAGCTTTGTGAAATGTTTATTGATGTTCCAGTGATCATAATTGTCATCATAATCATTATTAAATGCATTTCATTAATAAGAAACAAAAAGGAGGACATATTTCAAACCAAGAAAGTTTCTTGGAACTCAGTACCCTACTGTCAAGCTTCCTAAATCAGGGCCATGGGTACATGTCCAAAGAGTGAGAGTTTTTGGTCTTCACAAGTTTGAGCATCAGTAGTTTTATTTAGTTATGCTGAGCAGTGAGCACAGACTGCTACAGATGTAGATCACATGGTTTAGCATTAGTGTGTCTCATTTAGTGGGCTTCTAGCACTGACCACGTTCAAACAGTAAGAAGTGCCTTCTAACTTCCTGGGAACTTTTTGCAGCCAGTTCACAAGGAATTTTTTAAAACTGGTTCATGTTAATAATAGCAGGGTTTCTTACAGAAAGTTGGCACATGCAACTAACATATCTTCATTTCAATCTCATTACCCTTCCCCCCGTTTTTTCTCTCTCTTCTCACTGCTTGTGTTCCCCATCTCCAGAAGAGTCTGCCTCCTGCCTCCTGGTTTCCTTCATCTTGCCTGCCCTTTCCTTTTCTCTTTCTCTTTCTCTCTCTCTCTCTCTCTCTCTCTCTCTCTCTCTCTCTCTCTCTCT